GTATTCCATACGACTATTTACATTGAATTAAATAAATCATTAAACATATGTCAAACTCTTATTTAAACCATACATATATATTGTGCGCTTTTTGAACATAACCTAAAAGTTCTTCCGTAACTGGTACAAAAACAAGAGATCAAAGAAGTGAAAAATTTGAAACAATGGTTTTATGTAACGTAGAATGTTTAGAAAGAATTTCAAATTACTTAGATGTTTCACCATTGCCATTGGAAATGCAAGAAAATGTAAATAACATATTTTTTTTTATGAAAACGAGCTGCTTTCTGAACTACAATAAGTAAATTTTATTACGTCATTTTATAGATAGTCGTTGCAACGAAACGAGACTCAAATCAAAAAATAGAAGGATTTAGTACTATAATTCAATCATTAATTGAAAATTCGAAGTATCCTGATATACTTGGGGTTAATAATGAAATGAAAGCATTATCACAACAGTGGTTGGAATATGCTGTTGTTTGTATTAATTATGCCGATACACCGAATAATGCAAAAAAAGTTTTACAGGTAATAGAAATCCAATTATTTATCTAATAATATTAGGAGTAAGCAAATTATGCTACTTTAACTACTTAAGAATTACATAATAAAATAGATTTGTGTTTATAGGAGTTAAATGTTACATTAACGGACAAGACATATTTGACTGGTACAAAGAAAACTATTGCTGATGTTACATTGTATTATGCTCTACATTCAATAATGGTAATGAAAACTAGGAATCCTTAGTAGACTGTATGGATCAATCTAATCTCTTTGCCCTATTTTTGTGTTACAGCGGGAATTAACTCATCAAGAAAAAGCTCAATATGTACATGTGTCAAGGTGGTTTGATAACATGCAACAAGAAGAGAAATTAAGACAACAATTAGATTTAATTTCTTTTGATCTGTTACATTTATTTTTATGAATAAAATAAAGATATGGTAGTGATTTCCATAGATATTACATATTAATACAGTTAAAACAGTTTTTAATAAAATAACAAATGACTTATTTGTCAAGTGAAAATATTAGTAACTAAAAAATATAAAATCTAATACACAATGTATTTTTTGTTTTATGATCATTTTTTTGCATTAGTTGAAAGATCCTACTAGTAATAGAATAACAGTTTTTAACATGTTAAAAAATGTTGTTTCTTTATATTGACACACCACGCATATAAATGTTCTGAACTTGTATCTGGCTTTAAGTAATTAAAAGATTGTAATATTACCTTATTAATAATTCATGTATACTCATTTTATTTTGACAAAAAACATTTTTAACCACAGATATGGTACAGAGTAGACCTGACATCTTACTGGATTTTATATCATATAAAATACTGATTGTTTAAAGAAACAGCTATTTCTACAAAACAGTTCCCTACAACTTAAAGTGGTAATGTAAAATGATAAAAATTATATACATAAATTTATATTATTGACTAACTTAATTAACGATTACATCTATTTAGCCATAGTAAATCGAGAAAGAAGCAAAAATATTCGAATCTTTTTTAAAGTCGGAATTTATATTGTGAGACACGAAGTTCCATATGATGTCATGTCTATCCTATTCTTGGTCACAGACGAAGTATAGACGAAGTATTCTCGTCAGTGGGGATTCCATTGACTAATAAGAGCATTAGCCAATGATGGGAGTGATTCTAATCTTTTTCGAGGTTGACATTTCAGAACGTAGCGAGCGAATGTCTTATATCATCATTGACTACCTTGCATAGACCGGACATCAATAGGGTTTTGTGTCTCAGGTTTTGGGGGGTCATATGATTCCTTTATCATTTTCATGTCACATCCTATCATATCGACTTAGGTAAGTATTGCACTATAGAGCTATTGGTAATAGAAATTAAAATAAAAAAATATGGACAGCGTTGCCGTTTCTTCATCGAAAATTATTTATTGAATTGAATTCGGTGACACTTTATCACGAGCAAACATTGTACTTACAATAATCATAATAAATAAATGCGAATTTACTCATTGTTTAAAAAGTTCTATCATCATATAGTATGATTTTTCACAAAAGTGCACTACTTTTTTAATGGATCTCTTTCTACGACTGAATTTTTTTTACATGGTATTCTGAATAAAAAAAAAAAGAAATACAGCAAAAAGAAATTAATATTTCTTAAAATGCTTCAAGTTTTATACAGGATGCAGCTTTTAAATGGAAACATTCCTGTATTTTTGTTTTTAAGAACAAAATTCTCAAGATAAAGTTGCACTATTTTAAGGCGCACATTCGTTGAAAGTGGAAGCATTTTTTTCAAAGTCATTTTTACATTTCAACAAAGTGAAAGTAACTGAACTCTAATGTTTTTGTTGATATTCTTATAAAATAATTAGAGCATAAAAATTAAAGTTTGATCACCTGAATTTCCTTCCAATCACTTAATCCAAAGAAATTGTTTTCGGAATGTTTATTAAAGAGATTGAATTTCACGTTAAAACAGTAGGGATACCTATTACAGTCAAACGAACACAATAATCTGGTATTTATTGTGCGAGAATTAATATAAAATAAGTGTAAAATAGATTTGCAGAATAATTTTGTATGATAAATTATATGATTGATCTATATTCGAAGAAGTTACGGTTCATCCAAATCGTTCGAGAGTTTGCATTTGAATTACCTTTTCAGACTCTCCTACAGATTGTTTTTTGTTCGACATAAAGCAGCATTATTTCTTTTAAGAATCATAGTCGTATACATCCCGTGTTCATACATGTACTACCACGTGGATTCTGTAGTACACTACAGAATTACTGCTACAACAAGAATTAATAACATAT